ATACCAATTTGTATGTCATAGCCAAAAGCCAGGCGGTCATCAAAGGGGGGGGGGGGGGGGGGGGGTTGTCAAAATACGTGTGTATATACTAGGGACGGCTGGATTTAGGGGGGGGGGGGGCTGAAATACCATAAGCCACCACAATGCAGTACTAATTAACTCAGCTTTCAGTATGCAGCTGTGGCTTGTTATCTCAGCGCCGAGATGCATATGCGAACCAGCCTTCATTTCGCAAGCCTTCTTCGCCCTCCTTATTTTTCTTCAAAAGCGAATGTATGCAGGTGAGCTGGTTAGGAAACATCCTCATCTATAAACTTGTCATAATCTAAACTCGTGTCTGAGCAGATAGATTGTTATTTTTCCTTCGTTTTTTTCCTTTTTTGGCACTGTTTTACTTTTTCGTTAGAAACGTATAGATTTTTTTTTTTTTTTTTGCACTTCTTCCGTAGCTTGTAGTGAATGGCTTTCCGAGTGCTTTCCGGAAATGTTGACGTACGCGCATTTTTCTTCTTATTATTTATGGTGCATGAATTTCTCCTTGTATAGACGCTTTCAGCGAGTCAGTTACTCGAACTGCCACCAGTCGGCGCGCCCTTCGCGCGCTTTCCGGGCCGCCATAGCCGACCTTCAGTTTCTCGCCGTTGCTCCGCGTTGTGTGCTGCAGAGGCCACTACCGGAGCTTCGTTTTCGTGTTCTTTTACGTTGCGCGTTGAAATCTTATATTTTCTTTAGGTCTTTTCGATATTTAGGACTTTCATGTAATCATATTATATTTATATTTCGACATAGCTCTTGTATTTTCCTATTTATAGAATGGAATCGGACAGCGAATGGGTCGACGATACAAGATTATGAAACTTCAATGACCATCTAAGTTCATCCCATTCTTACGTTTTTGTCGCCAATAAAGGGGAGTCAACACTATTGCGGCATATGTAAATTTCAACTGACGCAGTAAGGCTATCACAGTCGTGCTTCTCACTGCATGTGCGCGCTCGTTTCCTTAAAGCCGACCCGCATGTAAGCGATTTAGCGTGCGACGAGACGAGCGACGGAGATTTCTCACTTCCGCCCGTCGCATCGCTCGGTTTTGGGATTTCTAGAAAACGTCGCTCACTGTCTTGGTCGCTTGCTCCGTCGCTTCCATGCGGTTTGCCTCGTGGCGCGACTGACTGAGCGACAGCGAAGCGGGTTGCCGTCGCTTATCTGGTCGCTCGCCAAATCGCTTACATGCGGTTTATACTCAATTAATTTCGATGCACACACCATTGAACCATTGGAGCCTCGATATTAAATACAAACCGCATGCAAGCGATTCGGCGAGCAACGAGACAAGCGACGGTGACCCGCGTCGCTGTCGCTCGGGCAGTCGCGCGACGAGGCAAACCGCATGGAAGCGACGGGAGCAAGCGACCAAGACGGTGAGCGACGTTTTCTAGAAACCCAAAAAACCGAACGGTCCAACAGGCGACAGTGAGAAATCTTCGTCGCTGACTCTCGTCGTTGTCGCCGTCGCTCGTCTCGTGGCACGCTAAATCGCTTGCATGCGGGTCGGCTTTACAGAAACGAGCGCGCACATGCAGCGAGAAGCACGACTGCGATAGCCTTACTGCGTCAGTAGAAGTTGGCATATGTCGCAATGGTGTTGATTGCTCTTTATTAGCGAGAAAAACGTTACAATGGGATGAACTTACATGGTCATTAAAGTTTCATAACCTTGTACCGTCGATCCATTCGCTGTCCGATTCCATTTCATAAATAAGAAAATACAAGAACTATCTTGAAATATAGATATCAAATGATTAAATAAAGCCCTGAAATATCGAAAAGACCTAAAGAAACACACTATTTCAACGTGGAACGTAAAAGAACGCGGAAACAAAGCTCCGGTAGTGGCTGGTGCAGCACACAACGCGGAGGAACGGCGAGAAACTGAAGGGCGGCTATGGCGGCAGGGTCACGTGACGTCAAGATGGCGGCGCCCATGAAATGTCACCTGAAAGCGTCTATATAAACTCCTACACTTTAAAAAAAATTGGAGCGTCTGGTTTTTATCAAATTACTCGGTAGAGCCAATCACTGCAATCTACGGACAACGCTCGGCGAATGACGGGGCCGATCATGTTTTAACCTAAAAAAAGCTCTGCGCTGTGGTACTGTCATTTCACCATGAACAGTACCGCTGCGCAGACAGTTTCTTTTTTTTTTTTTTAGGTTTAAACATATAATTAGTTCCTTCATTCGCCGAGCTTCCTTCGTGAAGCGCAGAGATCGTCTCTCCCAAGTGCTTTAAGGGAGAGCAGACGCTCCAGATCTCTCGAAAGAATCAAATCTGATAACCAAAAAGTAATAATAATAGCAGCGTGCTTATTTTCCTGCAGAGCAGGAAAACAACCAATCACGACAAACTATGCAGTCACTGACAGGTCAAGAACCCAGGGCGAGGGAAAGGGAGTGCTTTGGAGGAGGAAGCAGACGTAATGCCGGAGAGAGGGGGGGACATTTCCTCCTCTCCAGCATTCCCATCCGATTCCTCTTCCCCAGCCTTGCTTTCCCTCGCCCTGGGTTCTGTAGAAGGGTCCCGGCCAATCAAGAAACTCGGAACACGATTAGACCACGAAAATGCGATGTGCGCAGGAAGAATGCGCATGACGTCACACTCGCTCGCCGGATTTGTCGGATCTATTCTTATTCCGAGCTTCGTGATTTGCTGGGTCGGTTGGTTTCAGTCTGTTGTTCCGTGTGATCGGCTGCGTCTGTGTTCTGCAAGAAAAACAAAAACTGAACACATACATACTTTTTTTCAATAAAAACAAATAGTTTTTTTTTTTTTTTTTTTTTTTGTGCACAAGCGCATGGCAGGATAGATAGTACAAGGCGCATTAGTCGGTCTGTTCGAGTCGGAGACACCACGGGCACCGAGAGTCGGGCAGTTTTCCGCTTCGTTCTAGCGTCTGATGAGAGTCGACAACTTTCGTGCCCTCTACCCTGCGCTGCCTTTTCGCTGAGTCATCGGGAGGACACGTAAATCGCGGCACAAAGAAGAAATTGCAATTGGGGGGTCACTGGAGGTTCCGTTCGATGAAAACGACCCGTTGATCCTTTTGTCGATTTTGCACGAAACTGCATCTTGGCACCGAAAAGGAAATGTTAATGCAATGTTTGAAGGAATTTATCATTTCCTTTTTGAATGTAACTAACAACAATTTGAAACGCAACTTGGAAGCCCGTCACATATGCCTCGTGGAATTTACTTTACTTGTATGATGGTTCATTTTACCTTCAGGACCAGAGACATTACAGAAGGGAGTAATGAGAAAAAACAAAACAAAAATAACGGTGGAAAATACCGAAGTGCTGAACAACGTAGAATACACGGTTTTAAACACTCGAAGAAAAAGAACAGCAATTGATTTAATGGTTACAGGTAGATGATTTCATGCGTTCGAAACTCCAGCAATAAGCAATGAAAACAGTTGATTATATTGACAGAAGAGAAAAAAACAAAACGCGATATGACGGGTGTCAGGTTTTTGGTGTTATCCAACAAACACCGACCAGCAATTAACATATCACGTGAATGTGTAGGAACATATAGTCGCTAAGAACTTGATCGTCCATCGCTCCAGATGGTCTTTCCAAATATATGAGCTCTGAATGATCGAAGTAACTAAACAAAAACGAGTGCACTGTCAACTTGCAGACCACTGCACCTTCATTTGCGTTGGGTCACCAATACATCTTTTCAGACATTTTTTTTTTTAATTTAAGTTTTATTCGTTCTTTAAACGAAGGTTTTATTCAGGCAGCGGATGAGTAGTACAGTTGTCTGGGGGCCGCCGCAAAAGGCGTAAACATGCCTGACGAGGCCGACAGCCCCCCTCCCTCGCTCCCCTCCGTGTTGCGGAATAAATATCGATAAACGCCATGCCTTCTTTCTTCCTCGACTTAAGCAGCGATTTATTGAGTGGAAATATGTAATACGCAAGCGCCGTAAACCGTAGAAACGCAGAGAAAAGTACCGAAAAGAGGAACCCGGCGTGGGAGGAAGGAAGAGCGCAAGCACTTCAAGGCGCTCTCCACTCGATGGTTTGGCTTCACTGCACGTACCGTTGACCTGTGGCGAAGCTCGGACTCTTCAAGTTTCGCAAGCGCAGAGTTTTGGCGTGCCGTCCTTGAATTTTGTTTTGTTTTATTCATTCGTTTGACCGCTGAGAATAATAATACTAATAATACAATGAAGTACCCGATCACACGTACCGAGCCGAGGCTCAGTCCAGAGAAGCAACGGAACACTTCTGCGTGATACAGGTTACAAGAATGCAATCAGCTTATCGACGTAGCTCTCGTCGAGAGTGCTGCTTTTAAGATACAAACGCCTTGTTTTTTGTTCTCTTTTGGATATTTTTTCAATAGGTTGACTTTAAGTGCTGAGGATAAGAGGTATCGCTATTTCAAACGTCATTTTGATAAAAAAATAATAATATTAAAACAAACGGGCAGTTGTTACCTTTGTTTCACCTCGGCACAGTAGCAGGTCAAAAGTTATTGATTTCTAAATGATCAAAATTAGAAACGAGTAATACGAACCATATAGTATATATGGAGCATTAGAAACACGAATTCAGGTTCACTTAAAACAACTTACATCTTAAAAAAAGGAACTACTTATATTGACATGCACGTTTCTTATATCATATTGTGCGTCGTTCTTTTTTTTTTTTTTTTAGTATTACTACGTTTATATCTATCTATCTATATATGCGTTTCTGACGCTGGTATCTACAGACCCTCGGAACGGAGAGAACCTCTCCAGCGAAGTCGATGGAGAGCACTGTCGAGATATCCGGGTCGGTCGTACGACAGAGCCGGCGACGCCCCTCACTGCGCACGCGTCGTTCGCGGAAGCAGTCGGTGGCGAGGTGCGTGCCGCGGCTCCATCGCGGAGTGCACCACCACCGGCGCCTCCGCGTGATGTATTGCTCCGCGAGCCGCCGGCCGACTTCTCCGAGCGAGGCAGCGAGCAGTCCCTCTCTCTCATCTCTTTCGTATTCCGGCGCTCTTGTTTTTCCTTTTTTTGATGGCGCGGCACCGCTTCTTCCCCCTCCTGCCTCTCGACTCGCCGCCCCCCTCCGTGCCGGTGTGCCGCAGAGGCGGCAGCACTCATTCGCGAACGCTGGGCCGGCCAGCACGCGCGCGCACTCCCTACGTCGTCGTCGTGAGCCACCGCTCGCGCTCGGCAGCGATAGGACGTTCTCCACTGCGGTCGGTAGCCCGACCCCCCGCGAGAAAGAACCAAAAACAAAAAAATCGCCAACCTCGGACTTTGGATTGCCTCGTATCTCCGTGCCCACGGTCGCGTCAGCTGTTCCGTCGGCTGCGCCGAGTTCCTGCACCCGATGTCCGTCGTCGAGACTCGAGGGCCGGCGACGTTCTCCGGTCGGCTTCATCGCCGCCGCTTCTGATGCGGTCGTGTCCCTGTCGCCGCGGCACGGGAAGACCGTCCTGGTCGCCGAGAGCCTCGGCCTGTGGCGCCGGCCCCTCGGGACCGCCTCGCCCGGTGTCGGCGGGCTCCATTGCTCTGGGTTCGGGGGCTGTGAAGGGGATCGGCGCCGGCGTCCATTGCCGAGAAGTCTCCGAGCTCGGCTGAGCCGTGAAAGAACCGCTTCGTCATGCCACCCCTGAACATAAGTGAGTACCGTGCCTGTCGTGATCTTTCGGAGAGTTATTGATCGTGTCGCTCGCGGGATTGGACGGAGTTAGAGGGGAAGTGGGGCGCTGAAGAGCGGCGTGACGTTGTAAGTTGTAGTCTCACTGAGTTTGGAATAATGACGTAACTCTGGCAGATTACGTAATTTAACAGAGTTGAATGGACTTACTAGTCTCGTTTCTCTACATGTTTGTCCGAAAAGAAAAATCGCATGAATAAAAAAAAAATAGTTCCGATACTGTTTTATTAATTTTGTTTCTGAATGGCCTTGGACACTGACTTAATCAGAGTCGAATAGCCGCCTGTGTTACTTATGAACCCTAAGCAAGTTCGCAACACCAAGCGAAGCAACAAAACGCGGAAGTTTCAAAGCAGGGGTTTCCCCAGGATTTGAAATTAGGGGGTGGGGAGCTAAATTTTTAGGGGGGGGGGGGGAGGCATTAAGAATAGGGGAGTCGTTGCGAATCGAGGGGGTGCCATCAGAAAAACAAGAAGGGGTGTACACCCCCTTAGGGGGTGTGTAGGGAAATCACTGTTTCGAGGCAATGTGACGCGAACGGGATTTCACGCAGTTTTACAATTCGTGCCATGTGATAACAAAAAAGACTTATTGTTATTCATTGTTATTCGTTACTTTGTTAGCATCACATTAGGGTGCTAACGAATCCCGATTTTCATAACCTCAAGAATAACAACGCCGACAAAAAAGACATTGCATTATTTCTTGTATCTCCTTTTACGTGCAGACAAATCCCCCCCTCCCCCCTCAAAAAAAAAAAAAAAAGAATGTGGAATGTTTAAGGCACTCTTTACGCTCCTTCGAAAACCAAGGTGATATCGACAAAAAGGAAAAGACGGGACCTGAACAAAGAGCGAAAAAACAACGCGCCCTTTGAAGGTCCGTTTTAAATCCAGGTACGTTTAGCGACACGTGATGTTTGATTTGCTTCAGGTAATCAAGTTTAGAGGTCCATTATGATCCCCGTGCGTTTATCTAGGAGTGTCGGTCGTGGGAAAGGGGAGGGGGGTAAAAAACGTTTTGAAGGGCTCCGGGGGGGGGGGGGGGGGGGGATAAATCATCGATTGCGAATTCGAGGTGGTGTTATGGTTTTCGAGCGCGACATAATATTTGTGTAAAACCTTTCAACGGCTGCTGTCGACCTCCCATTAATGCATATCCTCAGACAAGATCATGGTTCGAGTTGGTGCTCAGAGTCAGGCAGTAAAACTTACATAATGTTTCGCGTAAACTATGGTAGGCCACTCGAGGCAGGTCAACCCGATCCCAGCGGATCTACCTGTTTCAAGGTCCTTTAGAACACGTTTGTTTTACGACTGGTATTTTTCCAACGCACCCTGACCCAAATGTCGGTGTCCTATGTTCCCGGTAGACCATCGAATTTGCAGGCTGGTGAATTGGTGTCATGGGGTACAGTCCTTCGTCCCTTCCCTCTCGTACTTAATGCCTACGTTAAAACAAATCGTTCCTTTCCAGCGGGGTTTCCGATAGCTAACGATCACGGAGCAATTACCTACACTAGGTTATCACGATTCGATCTTCAAAACTCGTTGATACGAGCGCCTCGCTTATGACTAGTTTTGCCTTGCCGACGTTTGAGGGGTAGTTGTGCAGTAACTAGCAGCGAAATGCGAACCGCCTGACCCAGTTAACAGGGTTCTTTTCGGTTTTCGCCCTTACTTAAACAGTTCGTGATGTTTGATTTGTTAACATGCGACTAAAAACTTCAGTAATCCGCCAGTCAGGACTTTTATAGGAACGTGCACCATGTACTCGAGATTCTTCTTGTCATAAACATCCCCACAAATGTTGGCTGAGAACCCATCCCCCCCGCTACTTTGTTTTGCTTGGTTGGTAATACAGCCGGAAGCCAATTCAAACTTTAAAATATGGTCTGTTATGTCAACGTTTTGCAAGCTTCATTCGACCGGTGTTGTATACAAAACTGCTAGCAATGTATCATTAACTATACGCCACTAAGTAGTAGTGACGCCATAAAAAAACGCCGGCACCATGCGCAGAGCTATCGACCTGCATATAAGAACAAGCGTTTGTGGAGAATGGGGGCGGTTTGTGCACATGTTGTCCCAGTCTGCGCCGGGAGTGTTCGCTCCACTAGCTACGATGACACACAGCCACCCACCTTCTCGCTGAGTAGAAATTGGTGGATTCCTCGCGGCACACTTGACCGCAAAAAAAGCCAAAAGTTACCACACTCCAATGTTTTTTAGTTTTTTTTTCAAAACTTGCTCGTTACTTCGACACACCACTATAATTCCTATTTGAAGCTGCTTTGCTAGTTTTGTTCATAAAAGCGAGTCGTTGTTGGCGCGGATCGTAAAATATCCCTCGTTGCATTGCATGAGCGTTGCTGGAAAGCATGCTTTTAGTTCTTTTTGCGATCTAACGATAACGGGCTGACGTAGGGTAAGAGCAGCAATTTAACTTCTATTCGGAGTATAACGTTAATGAGTCAGGAGCAAATTACATCCGCCAATTAATTTGTTTTCTTATAGTGTGGAATGTTGCGTGTGCGTCCTTACGTAATAATTTTTACATCGTATTTGCCAGAATGCCAGTTGAAAATAAATGTATTACAGTTGTGCAGCATTGGAAACATTGCAGGCCAATTTAACATTTTTGGAAATTGCATCAGCCTTATTTCGGTGCATTTTTTTTCTCGTTAATGAAGGTCTGATTTCACTATCCCACGTGATTGCGTATAAACCTCCGGAAATGTCTCAACTGCTCATCTCGGGTGTGTGCAGATGGGCTGTTCTGGAGCTTGGGGCTCGTTTAAGGGTCTGGCAACCCACTTAGTCACCCGCAGTACAGGCCGTTAGGTGGCGCAAGCTACCGCCCGCTATGAAGAGTGCAGCCATTAGCATCCATCAGAGCCGTATATGTAGAGAGTTTGGCCATTCGTTGGGAAGTATAGGAGACAAATGCGGAGGTGCCATTGGCTGAAAGCGGGCTGGGCGTGTTCCAGGGCGTCTTCAGAAATTCGAATGTGACCAACCAGAAGCCGGAAATAATACCCTGGCGGTGGTCGCGAGAAACAAACCTGATAACTGCATTGAAGTAACTCTCGATGGCTGAAAATATAGTACACGTGATGTTTCAATCACGCTCATCCAAAATGATAATGGAAGGGTGCGACGAGCGGAACGATCGACATAATCCGTACGCCAAGCGCCGAGGGCCGAGAACCTGCCGTCCGAGCGGTTACACTCTGTTCGCGCAAAACAGAGTTGAGCGGCGCATTCGTTTCTTACATCTTTCTGCATGATCATGGTGAAAACAACAAGTGCATCCTATATTCAACCACAAAGAGTTACCACACTTCACTCTTACGCGCTTCTTAGAACCATATGCGAACATAGACTTTTGATCAGAACTGTTTGCCGCTACCACCGCTAGGGGATTCTTTTCGGCTTCTGGTTGGTCAAGAGAGCATGCCAAGCCCTCTTTCCGAGTCAGACGCACGCCCTGGCTCTGCCCGTGCCTCCCATTGACCAAACTCTCTACATATACGGCTCTGGCATCCATTCAATCATCCATCCATCCAGGAGGAGCCGGCTACACTAAAACCGAATGTTCGGAAATCTTACTTGAGACAAGTCCAGCGTTTTCAATGCCAGGGCACGAGTGCGTGGCCGATCAAATCCCAGAGTGTATGCTCACTGTTTGCGGCCGGTACTCTTCAGCGCTTACTGCGCTGCTGCTTGCCGTTTGAAGACAATAGATGAGCGGCGTTTGGCAACTTCCGGTTCCTTGGGAAATTTGGTTTAGCTGTTTACAAACGACGACGATGATACGTCAGCCTGTCTAAGTATCGTTCCGAAAACTACACTGTGCAGGTTTCAGAACCATGCTTGGGCAGGCTTGCACCGCATTTTCGTCGTTTGTCAACGGTGAAACAAAATTTCCTAAGGAACCGGAAGTTCCCAAACGCGCCGCTCACCCCTCGCAGCAAGAGTGTTTGGGGACGCAGAAGCTGCTACTCCGAGTGATTGGTGTCCACACTTAAGCTACAGTCAAACGACTCGTACATTCTACAAAGGACATGGATACAAAATTATTGGCGGACTTGCCTCAAGCAGGTTCGAAGCAGTGTTGTGCCGAACGGCGTTCCAACGAGCGACCTTCCCGGAACGTCGTTCCTTTCAAGAGGTGCACGGAGGAACACCGCCGTTCCATTTTGCGTCGGTGGAACTGGAACTTGTTACAATTTCAAAGCAAAAACTAAAAAAATCTTTTTTTTTGTAATTTTACTTTAATATAGTCGGCTTTTCGGCTTTTTTTAAATTTCTTTATTAGCGACTATTTCAGCCTCTGAGTCGAGGGATGGCGAAGCATCTGAGAGACAGTCGAAAACAAAGACCTGGAACAAAAATGGGGATTGTGACGAGCCGGCACGTACAGCTCGATGTGGATATTTTCACCCACTGGCTTTTATTTTATTTACGAATTATTCGAAAAGATATTTCATCGAAATACGCGAATGTAAGGTTAGTATAATGAAATGACCCATTCCAAACTTATAAATATAACGGGGCCCTTTGGAACCATTAGGGATCTAGTAGCGGGAACCCGTTCCAAAATTAACGAGGAACGAGGCTTCGTTCCTGTTTTGGGGGAACTTGTACAACACTAGTTCGAAACATTTTGTTTTATTTTTTCTTACATATTTTTGCTTAAAAGATGTCTGCATATAGTTTTTGTATGACCAACGTGGTAGGGCAAGGAAGAATGACGCCTCAAGACACCGTCTGCACACTGTCTTTTGAATGATGCATTAGCGGTGGTACCACGGTTTTAGGGCCTCTCGGTAATAAAAGAATGTCGAACCGTATGCGGGAGTTCGGGGGAAGTTTGACTCGCAAATCAGGAACATGTTTTATGGCACAAGTTTCAGCAATATCAGCGTGTTATAGCCATGGCAAAACGACTCGGAAGAGT